TAGATTCACCTCTGCTCCAAAATGTCTGAATTCCCTCACCAGCATTCATTCCTCTCTGCAATATGCTGGAAACATTGATCCAGATGTGTTTGAGCAGAAACGCATCTAAAAGTTACAGGATGGTAGCCCTGGAGGACTGGAGTTGGTGACCCCTGCTCTATACCATCTTTATCATCCTGCAGAAGGACAGCTCCTACCCAACAGCACTGGCATCTATGTCCAGCTTAAATGGCAGATTGAAATTTGGGGTGGAAAGAACAGGAGAACAAGAGAGCAATCCTTTAAGATGCTCAAAAGCATGCTGACATTCATCAGACCAAGTAAAAAGTTTAGAAGGGCTGGTCAAAGCTCTTAAAGGAGCAGCTACTGTAGAAAAGTTCTTGCAAAAGCGACAGTAGAATCCTGCCATACCCGGGAATTGACAGAGCTCCCTTCTGCTTGAAGAAACTGGAAAGTCAGAAATGACTTTGACTTTAGCATCCATAGGACACACTTTTCCTCCACCAACCTGTTAGCCAAGATAGAGAATGGTACCTTTACCAAACTCACACTTTGAAAGATTGAGTGTTAGTGAGTGTCAAGTTTTTTGACCTCTACAAATCACCTTAGCTTCTGCCCAAACTTGAAAAGGGCTTGCTCCCATCAAAGAAATCCAGGACCAACTCATCTCAGTGTCATCTTTTTATTTTATTCCTCTTTTCTCTTTAAATCACTGTACTTTCCAATACATGACAACCAAGCAGGTTGAAAACCTACAAACAAACAAATTACAAATTACTTTTAAGTCATCAAAAAAAATAAAATAAACTACTTTCATAAATCCGTTTTTGTAAAACCAGCTAAGTCCTCCAAATGCAGGTTTAAAGTTCAGTTCCTACCAGTGGTGTTTCTGCAGGAGCTTGAAGATGAGGTCTTTGTTTGTAGAGATTATTCCAAACACAGGTGTGCTGAGTTGCCTTATAGGCTCCTGAAGGCCTGAGTGAGTGAGACGGGTGTGCTTGATTTTCTGTGAGGCACGTGCCAGCTGGGTGGAGATGGTATTGCACTCACACAAATACACCACTTGCTGTTTTAACTTGACAGTGAGGCAGCTGAAAGACGTTTGAAGACCTCAAGGAAAGCTGCAAGGTGGTTAGACCAGTCATTTGAGTATACAACAATGTCGTCTAGATATACCCGGCAGTTTGGCACATCTCCCAGTACTTTATTTACAAGCCTTTGAAATGTAGCCGGAGCATTACATAGCCCGAAAGGCATCACTGTGTACTAGAGAAAACCGTCTGACATAACAAAAGCCAAGATGTCAGAGGCCTGTTTTGTTAGAGGTACTTGCCAATACCCTTTCAGCATGTCAAGTTTAGTGACAAATTTTGCTGGTCCAATTTCATCAATACAGTCTTCAAGGAGGGGTAACGGGTGTGCATCAAAGACTGTTACGGCATTCACCTTATGAAAGTCTGTGCAGAACCTTGGACTTCCATCAGTCTTCATGTCTAATAGACATGGAAAACTCCATGGGCTGTAACTCTGAATGGCAAGTCCATTTTTTAAGCTCTAGTGGCCTTTATTTAATAGGTAATTGACAGGAAAGTGGGTAATGAGAGAAGGGGGAAGACATGCAGCAAAGGTCGCCAAAGCCGGGAATTGAACCTCTGACAGCTGCATCGAGGACTAAGGCCTCCATATGTGGGTTGTGCTTAACCCCTGCGCCACCACAGCACACTGGCAAGTCCATTTTTAACAAGTTACTCCACTTCCTTTTGTCATAACCCCCCTCTTTGTGGGATTGATACCATATGCTCTCTGTTTTATAGGTGTAGGATGGGCAAGAACAATGTCATGAGACACCACACTAGTCTTGGTAGGAACATCCCTAAACAGACATTGGAAGTCTGATATGAGTTTTGTAATCATCTGATAAAGATGAGAGATAGGCAGGTTAGCCAGTATTTCACTATTGCTAAGCCTTGCAACTTGTGGTGGATCTTTGCGCATTACCACATCCTCCTCAATCAACTTTGAAACACAGGTTACAGGGGAAACAGCTTCAACCTGACTGGGTTGGTTGGTCAATCCCCCTTGAATGATACAGTTTCATCATATTAACATGACAAAGCCTGGTCTTGTGGCGGTGATCAGGAGTTTGAATAATGTAGTTTCTTTTACTAAGTTTGTTTTCTACCACATATGATCCAGAGAACTTTGTTTCCAAAGAACAGCCAGGGATGGGTAGCAAGATCAAAACCTTATCACCAGAGTGAAACTCACGAGTGACTGCTTTCTGGTCATAATGTTGTTTAATTTTGACCTGCTTTGAAAGGCATTCTGCGCAAGAGAGCAAGTTGCCTGAAGGCGCGCTCTCATCTTTGAGACATACTCTGGAATACTTTTTACAGAGTGAGAGGGTGAGATTAGCTTGTCTTTAAGGACATTTAGAGGTCCCCTAACCTCATGTCCAAACACAAGTCCAGCAGGACTCCAACCTAAAGTGTCCTGCACTGTTCCACGCATGGCAAACAGAAATGGGATACCTTCATTGCAGTCCTTCTTTGTATTCATACAGTATTTTCTCAGCATTGCTTTTAATGTCTGGTGAAACCTTTCAAGTGCACCTTGGCTTTGGCTTGACATGCTCTACACCCAACCGTTTTAATGTCTGGGCAAAGGTTCTAGATTTAAAGTTTGTGCCCTGGTCAATTTGGGAAGACCAAATACTGAGAAAAACTTTACCAGAGCTTTGGTGACCATGGGAACTGTGATCCTCTGCAGGGGCACGGCCTCAGGAAACCTGGTGGAAGCACACATCATTGTCAAAATGAACTGGTTTCTACTTCTTTACTTTGGCAAAGGCCCTACACAATCCACAATCACCCTTCCAAATGGTTCACCCATGACTGGAATTGGGGACAAAGGAGCAGGGGGTATAACCTGGTTCGGCTTGCCTGCAACTTGGCAGACATGGCAAGTACGACAATAAAGTGAAACATCAGATTTGAGACCTGGCCAAAAGAAGTGGTTGAGAACTTTGTTATAAGTTTTATTTATACCCAGATGCCCCGACAGTGGGTGATCGTGTGCTAATGCTAGCACCTGCATGCGGTACCTTGTTGGCACAACCACCTGATAAATGGTACTCCAGTCTTCCAAGTTTTCACCAGCCCAGCGTCGCAACAGGAGACCATCATCAACCATATATGCCACCTTCTTCCCCTGGGCTTCCTCCTGGGTAAGAACAGAAGAATGACATTTCAACAGAGTCGTGTCCTGTTTTTGAGCAGCAATGAATTCCTCCCTGGAAGCTGGTAATTTCATCATATCTGGACCTGGAAGAGGAAATACATTTTCAGATTTGTTGAGTTCAGTCTCTGATCCGGCAGTTTGAGTTTGCTCCGTGGTAAGAAAAGAGTCAGACAAATCAAGACTATTTCTTTGACTGGGCCCGTGTTACCACACAAGCAGGGAAAATGTCAGGCATTGGTTCAAAGTCCACGCTTGTGTCAGGTGTATCCAACATCTCAGGCACGGGTAATACTAGGGTTGCCACCCGTCCCGTAAAATACGGAACCGTCCCATATTTGGCTGTTAAATGTAGCGTCCCGTATTGAACCGATACGGGACGTGATTTGTTACGTATTCTACAAATGTGGATGTGTAATAATAAAGAAGTGGTCCCTGAGTACTTTATATAGTAGGCTGCCCCAGTCATTGTTTCACTCACGATGTTGGTGTTGTGATATTGTGCCCAACTGCTTTCTGGCTAACACACTAACTGACACGCTGCCGCTGCAGCCCACCCACCCCACGGCTTTAAATATATAGGTACTGGTCCCTTGGTAACCCTAGTCGAAGCGCACCCCCCACCCCCTCCCCAGCTTATGAGACTAGGACGACACGCGTTAGTGGGCATCCCTTATTTTGATTTCTGAAAGGTGGCAATCCTACTGATTACCTCCTTGTGTATTTAAATCCACCTGTTTTCTTTTTGTGTGCTATTGGGTCCTCGTCATTTATGCTGTATTCGTCTTTTGTGGCGTCCGTTTCCCTGTGCTGCCACTATTGGACTATGTTATTTTGGATTCTTCACTAAATCATCTTTTCATCTTCTACACCCTGGGTCAGTCTGCGTTCATCCTCACCTCATCATCCATAATCATGACAATAAGAGATTGTGACCTGAGCAACATTCAGCTTTAGATATTTTCTGAAATCTCATGACCTCATACAGCACAATCTCTGATGTAAGATTTCTAGATTTATTAAGATTTGAAGTGGATGAAATTAAAAGACGTATTTTGACATTGATTACTATGTCACCTTTGATCCTATTTGATCCTGAATACACACAAGTAGGTATTCAAAGAGTACTTCTACTCTTGGGGGTCATTGGATTGCAACACAATGGTTCAAATTGCTGTGAACAGCTATTTCACAGCAATTCTTAAGTTGGATAACAAAGTAGATATACTAATTATTTACAGATTTTGAGAGTGGATTCTAAGCTTTCTAATGATGCAAAACACATAGAAATAAAAATAATGAACATATGGTCACTGAACGTTAATCTAATTCGCCTAAATCAATAAAAAAGTGTGTGACAAGCTAATGAAGTTTGGTATGCAGCTGTGAGTTCATTTACTTTGTAATCAAGCTGAATTCAAACTCAAAGTTTACAATTTTAAAGCCACCAAAGATTCTACTTAATCCTTTAGAACCAGCGTTTCAGCTTTTAGATGCATCGCTACTTAATCAAATAATTAAGTCATTAGCAGCACTCTGAACAACATAGGATGCTGAAAAGGTGAATGATTCAGGTGTGTTGGATGAAGGACACAGCTAAAATTTGCATGACTCTAGCTTTGTTTCCTTTTTCCATATAATTGCACAAACTGGATTTACAAAAATAAATTTGATTAATAGAAACATTAATTTTGAAAAATAATTGATGTTTTTGTCCTAGGATACACAGTTGTTTTTTTTACTTCATTGAAATTGGTGTCTTTCGCAAAACTGCAATGTGAGCATTTTTTTGCATCACGAGTCATGTGATCAACAAGTAATGTTACTACTGGTGGAAATGATGAAGTGGTAGGAGGATGAAGGCGAGGCATGTTTTTCAATGACTTATGTGAACAAACTTATTCATATATGATTTTATTTGTGTTTCTTATTTAATAAAAACTTATTCAACATTAACCCTGTCATGCATAGTGGTCACTTCAGTGGACAGCTATCTAAAAGCCATTTTCTTGTGCTTCTTGTGGATTTTTATGTTATAAATGCACACAGACCACTGAAGTGGACATTAATGCATCATAAAATACTCTATCAACTACTGGCCATCAGCTGCAAATGCAAGAAATTATTTTTGTTCAATCCAATATGGCCGACAGACAAAAAAGCATGGCAACCGACCCTGTCCCTCATTCTACTGTAGACGACTCTTGCAGGTAAAAAAAAAATATATATATTGTGACATCACATAACCCCTAAAGAACAATTCTACTTGATAGGTACTTTTTCTCGAACCTATATAAAAAGACCACAGACAACGTATATGAATTTTATAGACAAAGCTTTTGCAAAAGGAGAACTCTCCATCAACAACCTCTCCAGGCCGTTCACAGAGAGTTCTGATCTCCTTCCACGCGAGCCCCTGTTTTATTGTCAAAGCAGAACAGCCAGAAAAAAAACAGAGGTCGTAAAACATTTAACCTAAACAAACCAGCCAGGTGTGATATCTGATCTACGGTCTGAGCCCAGTTCAGCTCTAGGTCAAACTGTCAACAAAGAGGGAGGATAAACAAGAGACAAAATACGACTGCTCACAGGCAGTTAGGAGGTATTCTGGTTGATAAGAATTAAGGTCTGGGAAACACAGAGTTACCTGTCTCCCACGAAGATGAAACAGTCAGTCGTAACCTCCAGGTCAGTTTATACACACATAAGGAAGATTAACATTAGACTGAATATGAACTAAAGTAATAACAAAATGATAATACCAAAAATCTCTATCACTACTGATGCATTTTTCAAATAACTTTGTATTTGGAGAAAATTACAATTGATCACCTAAAAAAATTTTTTTATTTTTTTTACAAAAAATTTTTTCCTACCTTTTTTATGCCTTAAGAAAATAAATTAAAAAAAGGAAAGAAATCCTGACACAACGGATCATAATTCATGCATGAAAGGGTTAAGAATCCACTAAGAAAAAGATAAAAGCCATCAATTTCTAAAACGCTGGTGACTTTTTTTTTTTTTTTTTCGATAAACATACTAGTTGAAGTCATGAAGTAGTCACCTCATACTTTGAGTAGCACTTTTGGTGGCTTTAAATTGTTAAACTTTGAATTTGAATTCAGCTTGATTATAGAGTAAATGGACTCAGATGATTAGCATACCAGACTTCATTAGCTTGTCACACACTATTTTTATTTAACAATTAGGATAATGTTCAGTGACCATATGTTCATTATTTTTATTTCCATTTCTTTTACATCATTAGAAAACTTAAAAATCCACTCTCAGAATCTACAAATAATTGTATATCTTCTTTGTTATCCAGCTTAAGAAGCGGAATATCGGCAAAGTTTTGCGTGCATTTGTACTAGAAATGAAGCTACTGGCTCTCACTGGTATTTGAAATCCCTGGTTTAGATGATTCTTACCAGTAAATACAGTATGCTATATCTTTAACTGACCTTCTCAGTCTTCATTTATCATTCAAAACTATTAAAAGGCCTTCAAACTATAAGCTTAAAGATCTATGTTACTGGGATCCTTCAAGAAACAGGCTTTGTACAAGTACAGAAAGATTTTATTAACTTCTGAAAGAGCTCAGCAAGCTGTTTCAGACATTTCATATATACCCAGAAGAAAGAGTCATGTATTCCAAGTAATAATAAGCAATGATAATTCTACCATGAAGGAAAATAAGTGTAAAGAGTGTTACACTGCAAAGCTTTGGAGCAACTCCAACCTCATCAGAAGGGCAAATTTATTTCAGTCAGAAATGCACTGACTTTAATTTCACGCTGCACGCATTTTGATACAAGGAAGAGAAGGGGGGGGGGGGAAGAAAGAAAGAGAGAGCAGGAGTGAGTCTAAATAAAGAGAGGGAATATTTTGTTTAATTTTCTGCCAATAGTCACCATAAGAAAAGAGAGTTTAGACTTAAAAAGGAGGACAAATAAAATAGCCAGAGAACTGGTTGATTTTTACAGTCTACAAACTCATGGGAGGTAATTGGAATTTCTTTTTATTAATAAATTCATTCAGGATTTAAAAAGTGTTTTTATTTTTTTGCTCTGTTAATCAGTGTCACTGCTCCACTGTTTTAAAATGCCTGTGGGACTCATTTTAATGGAGGATATTTCTACACAGGCACAACAGCTCTGCAATTTTCAAGATATTATTAGGATAACATGTTCACAAGAGTAGAAATTACCTTAAAGACTGATAACTAGGGATGAACAAGATCAGGAAAACATGATATTGTGATCTTATTGTTGAATATTGTGATGAGAATATGGATTGAATTTAACCTTTTCCTTTGCCGCAGACAGCCATCACTGAGGACAGTGGATGTCTTCTCGACAAGCCCAGTATATTAGTGGCATGGAAATTTGGCATGCATAACACTTGAAATAAATTTTAGAATACCAAATACCATGGCTAAGAAATCCATTTCACACATTTAGATTGCAATGTCGACTGCATTTTAAAATCATGTGCAGTTTTAACGAAAACCTTCAAAACCTGAATTGTTGGCTTCTACATTACCATCATTCTCCATTCATTTGTGATGTTGTAGGTTTGTAAATAGTAGGTCTATGTAGTTTTTGTTTTGTTTTAGTATCTGAAATGTATTCTGCTTTATTTTATTTATTTTTTTACAGATATTGCTTATTACTTTATTATTTCCATAATTTATCTCAGAAATGTTTTTTTTCTTTTCATTTCACATTTTTTTCACTAAAAATACTTTATTTATCCAATTGCCTTGGAAGAATCTGACAAAACCCTGAATTTTTTTGCTTTGTATTGTTACAACCATAAACTTCAATATGTTTATTAGCATTATATGCCAATGCAAAGCTTATAATTATGAAATAACAAAAAATGGTTTTCAATTCTTTTTTTAAAAGAAATCTGAAAGGTGTGCAGTGCATTTTTATTTCTCTTAATAAAATCAATTCAAACCAACTTCTTTGAGTAAAATATCCACCTGTATGTAATTTATTTTAAGTATAAAAATAACAAATCAACACAGCACACATGTATAGGAAAGTGCTCTGGTCAGATGAGATCAAATATCTTTACTATGTAAAATGCTATGTGTGGAGGAAACACTGTACAAAATATCCCAATAGCAAAACACGATGGTGGCAGCATCATACTGTGAGGATTTTGTTTTATTCAGCAGGAACAGGAAAACTATTGTTGAGTAGAATCAACAACAGACAGAGACCTACACCAGCAGAGCTAGAAGGGAATTATTTAAATCAAATGTGTTAAAATGGCCTAATCAAAGTCCAGGCTCAATTCAGAATTTGAGGCATGAATTCCAAATCATCCACCCAATCAGATGGAGCTTAATAGAAAGAAAGAAGAACGGATGAACCTTTTAGCATTTACATCCACATCCACATATGGTTCAACAAAGTATTGACTGAGGTTGGTACAGTCTTCTGAAAGACACTGTGAAAATCAAACTGGATTTCTGGAGTAGTAACTGATTTACATATGACTGGGTTTCTCCTCTGACAAACTTTTTTTTCTTTATCAGGTAATTTATCATGTTAGTGAGCTGTTGATACATGATGTCAGAAGGGGTACATGACTAAAAAAATATAAAAGAAACAGGCCAATATGTTGTTTTAATATATATTAAGAAAGTGAAAGAGCCATTTGCAGTTGCAGATCATTTCTGTCAGATGAAATCTTATTCTATGTCAACAGGGCTGAAGGTAAAAGTAAAACACTCTCATGATGAAGTGTTGAAGGTGGACCCAATAGCACCAGGCAGGAGACATAGTAGTGTGATGATGAATTTAATCAGCACTACAAAAAATACAAAAACTCCAGCAAACAACATCCAAACAAACCAATCTGGGATTCAAGAAGACCACAGGACCCAGGGAGACGAGAGCAGGGTGATAAGAGTCCAGAGTAACAAGACAAACGAGAGAGGAGTTTAAATACCAAGAGGTTGTGGAGAGAACAATGGATCAGGGCTGATGAGCTGATTGATTAAAGTTTTGAGAAGCAGAGCGGGAGCCAGGCTTCACAGGAGAGCAATTCCAACACCAAAAACAACCAAGAAGAAGCAACATGATGAACAGGAACACAAGAAGAAAACGCAGAGCAGGGACAGAACAAATTCAACAAGAACTGAGGAACACACAAATCAAAAGGACCAGACAGAGAAATAAACCTAACTAGAATCACTAAACTCTGACACCAAATAATAATTAGACCTGGAATAATGAAATAAATCATACTAGAAACACTATGAGGGACTGAAATAAGAAAAACAAGTCAAATAAGAAAATGACAAGACAAATAATGGAGCTAGAATCCCCAAGAAGGGTTAAAAAAAGTGAACTACAGCATAACTAATTAAACAGAAAAAGCAGAAAAACTAAACCCCAACCTAAAACCCAAAGTCTTGACAAACACCTTGAGTTTTAATTATTAAAGTAAAACTATTAAGATTAAAAAAATTAGATGTGTTCAAGATCCCAATTAGTTTCTGTACCAGCGCATATCAGCATTAGGAATTGATTTAAAAGTATCTCTAAAAGTGTGCTCACCCATGTTGGCCCCTGTCTAGAACCGCCCCTGGACACTAAATTATTTTTATATAAAGAACTTTAATAAAGCTGGCTCCAACAATGGTATCCTAGAGACAAAATGTTCAACCCTATAATATCATCATGGCAGTTTAACAGCAGACTCTAACTTAAAATAAACACAACCTGGAGCCAATTAAAAGGTTTCTAAATCTCTCTTATTTCAATAAACAGTTTATTTCAGCCTGCATTTCTCTGGCAGATAAGCTAAAACTTTGTTTGCTCAAACATACTTATGTAAATGAAGAGGCCATGTAGGAAAATATCAACCATGTTCAAGTCAAACACTTCTGAAGGCTCTGTTTGTGTTGAAAGGACTGATGCAAGCCTGCTCTGTTGAACTCTTTGCTCAGAGCCTGGTACACTTCTCCAATTTTTTAATGACAGAGCTGCTGAGAGAAGAGCACATCAAAGCAGACATTACTCCCTTTACATATTTCTTTTATTAGTTTTTTCCCACATTTTCCTAAAGCAATCCAAACCAACCTGCCTTAACCCCATAAATGGTTTTCACCTCAGATCTTTCACACTGATGCCATTTTGCCCAGTCTTTATTATTATTATTGAAACAAGTACTCTCACACAGGCATTGCTTTAGCTGTTCTGGCTTCTGTTGTGACTTCCTGGTTGTGTCGTCAATAGACTCCTGGAGTGTTTTGTTAGGCTGGCTGCTCCTAGGAAGGTTTATCATGTTTTCTCCATAACGGTTCACACAATTCAGGCTGATCTGTTTCTGCTTTTTTCTTTCAAGATCATGACATGAGTTATTTTTTATATCCTTAATGCCTACTTTATGCTGACAGATAGGTTCTAGCTAAATTATTATGTAATTCTACAATTGTAGCAGTAACCTCCCCTAGGAGAAGCTAATAAAACTGAACTAAACCAATTGTTAGTTAATCCTTTACGAACATTTTATCAGCATTTCACTGAGCAGTAGCTCCTATAATGAGTCCAACATGTGTCCAGTTCCACCAGGTGTTTGCTAATTGCTGCTGGCTAGTCTGAAGAAGCTGAGTGGGGAAATGCTGTTCTGTGAGGTGGAAGTTTTGAAATTGCAGCTCTGAGGAGGAACCAGCAATTTTTGCACGGCTGAATGGTTTCCATGGAGATTGAAGGATTCCTCAAACGTGCATCACAGAATCATGTCAACACTCCAAGTTTGTTTTTGATGAG